ATTACTGTGGTGAAGAGAAACCATGACCAAGGCAACTCGTTTTTTTTTGTTTTTTGTTTTTTTTTTAAAGCATTTAACTGTGGGCTTGCTTTTAGTCTCAGAGGTTAGTCCATTACCCTCATGGTAAGGAACATGGTGGCGTGCTGGCACAAATGATGTTGGAGAGGTGGCTGAGAGTTCTACATCCTGATCCATAGGTGGAGGGAGGGACTCTGGGTTTGGCATGGGCTTGGGAAACCTCAAAGCCCACCCCAATGATATACTGTCTTCGACAGAGCCATACCTGCTAATCCTTTCAAACAGTGCCACTCCCTGGTGACTGAGAATTCAAATATATGAGCCTATGGGGGCATTCTCATGCAAACCACCCCAGAAGGTCACCAGAATGGAGACTTTGCGAATGGCACTAGTTCTTTTATGAAAAAGTCTGTACGGAGCCCCTGTACTGTGATGTTAAGACACTAGAGAAGTCAGAAGTATGCAATTTAGAAGCTTTTACCAGACCCCAACCACACTGCCATCCTGATCTTGGACTCCCGGACTCCAGGATGGTGAGAAATGGATGTAGTTTATAAGTCACTCACCTGCCCTATGGCACTCTTATAGCACCCCTGGATGATTAGAAAGTACTAAGGAAGCCTCTAAACAGAAGGCAACGAAGATTTGATTTCACTGGGTGGAAGCCAGTGATTCCCAATGCCCCCGTCATGGTCTGTTGTTCTCCTAAGTGTTGGAGAAGACACATAGAAGGCAACAGATGGGGTTCAAGGTAAAAATGCCTTCTCCTCGGATGTCTGTGATAATAGCGCTCGCTTCTATTTAAGTGGCACCATTGCAAAGTGCTTCCCTGTGCATTCTCATTTGATTCCCCACGATACAAAGAAATATACAGGAAGCAGCGAGCTAAATCTTCATGATCTCGTCATGTACTTGAGGTCTTTGAGTCTGCAAAGTTAAATACTTATTATGACCCTGCAGCTGGTCAAACAGAAGCTGGGAGTTGCCTCCAGGGTCAAGTCCATCTTCCTTTCTGTTGTGGAATAGCTGCAGAGTCACTGCCCAGTAACCTACACTCTAGGACTATCTTATGTCTATAAGAACTCTGAAGCTAAGGGCTGGGCCTGGCTGATGAGGGTAGAATCCTATCAGCCAGACACTATCTGCAGCCAGTCTGCCCTTGCCAACCTTTGGCAGCTCATCAGAAAAGTCTGCATAGGCCGGGGCAGGTAATGGGAGTCTATGGCTAAGTGGGGAGCTTGTAAGAGAGCCCCCACTTTGTTTCCATCTCTTCCTGTAGTGGGACTTGTGTGTGCATGTGTGGTATGATTGGCATGTTTGCTTTTTCTAAAACTTAAGCTCTAAAATGAAATCCTATTAATCATTATGACAGGCCAGGGGGTAGAGCAGCAGCTTTTAGCAGGGGCTACAAGGGCTGCCTCTAGAAGGCCTCCCAAATCCATGGGGGCCAGCAAACCGCTGTCCAGCTCCACTAGACTTTCTTTGGGAGCCTGTTGAGGTACAGCAAGAGTGTGCTGGCCCCTTCGGACTTAAGCAGAGAATTATGTTATATCCTTTAAATGCAACGACTATTGTCTTGAAGAGAAAAACTTATGCAAAACGTTAAATCTTTACAAACACACAGTAAAGTCATGACAAGGATTGATGTACTTCCAAGGAGATTCTGCCAGGGTCAAGAGTGCTGAGGAAGTGTGGCCTTCCTTCCCAGAGCTCAGTGTCCACACGCACCCTTGCGGCCCCCTCCTTGTTATTTCAAGTCTTTCCCTGACTGGTTAAAGTAGTGCTATCGTCATCTTCAGTTTCTGCAAAAAGCTACCAAAGTATGAAGCTTTGTAAATATTCTTAACAAAAGTGTCTCTGAGGCTGGTGCTGGTTATCAGTCCGTGAAACACACATGTTCAGTCACTGTTTTCAAGGGCAGTTTTATGAGCTGTTGTACACTCAAGCCTGGGAACCAGATTTTAAATCCTGGCTCCTCCCCTTGCCAGCTGTGGGAACTTGGACAAGCTACTTAACCTCTCTGTGCCCTTCCCTCACCTGTGAAAAGAAGATAACAGTGCCTACCTCATGCGGCTATTGGAAGGATTAGATGGATTAATATGTGTAAAGCACTTAAAATACCGTCTGGCACACAGCCAGAATGCTCTTGCAAATGAATTGACTGCTTACTGTGGCTTTCTGGATATTTTAAGTTCCTGATGCTGTCAGATGTCATCCAAAACAAGTTTGTAGATTTCCCTAATTTACACATTCTGCAGGAATAACATTTTGCTATGTATAAATCTTAAGATCTGTGTTATGAGAATGTTTTACAGTCCTATCATGGATATGGTGAGGGTTTGGAAAGTGCTAGGTTATCTGGGACTCAAAAGCAAAACCAAACCACACCTTTCAAAAGGAATGTAGAACAAATACAGAATTCCAGCCTGTGTCATTCGAGGCATAGTAAGGAGAGGCTCCCAACAGTGGTTACCTGTGTTTTAAGAAAATAATTCTGAGCCCAACTAACCACACAGAAATTGGTGTTTTCTTGCAATTTGGATAAAATAACCACTAAATGCCAAGGAGAAAGCGTTTATCCCACAGCTTAAGAGGCCACTTTTCAGGGATCCCAAATTGTCATATCAGGTGTCAGAGCATGCCTCCTATTTCTCTGTTCAATGTACTATGTACCTAAGACACATTACAAGTTATGGCTGTCACAAATGTCAGAGGTATACCTGCCACACTCATGTCACCAGAGACTGCTTGGGCAGATAATTCTTCAGTTCACTTTGTCCCGAGGATGCTTCAGCTCAGTGGTTGTGGGAAAGGCTTAGGTGTGTCCCAGAGCCAGGGACAGGAGACCTGGAGAAAGACTCCCCTCCCCAGGAACTATCATGGTAGCCCTGCTGCAGAGCAGAGCCATGTTCCTGATTTGTGGGGGTCACCTTGCTGTTACTGAAATGGGCTTGGTGATCTGTTGCTTTCAGAGGACGGCTTCCCATCTTTTTTAATTAAAAATTTATATTAATTACAGTTTATTCACTTTGTATCCCAGCTGGAGCCCCTTCCCTCATTCCCTCCCAATCCCAACATTCCTCCCTCATCTTCTCTCATTCCCCTCTCCAAGTCCACTGATAGGGGAGGTCCTCTCCCCCTTCCATCTGACTCTAGCTTATCAGGTCTCATCAGGACCTGCTGCATTGTCCTCCTCTGTGGCTGCTTCCCATCTTAAACAAGCAGCGGTAGAGTTAACTACCTAAGTACCTTCAACAACATCCTATCTGGATAGCACCTCTTTTGAGTTGTGTGGAGAATAATTTCTAGACAGGTAGATGGATCTCATAAAAGCACACCATTTGCAGTGTCCACAATTACCCTTATTAGCCATTCATTTAGCATTCTTCTTTTCCACTTTAAGATTACTGAAGTCATTTCATTATTGTTTGGGTGTTTTCCCTGCATGTATTATTGTGTGTACCATGTGCATGCAGTGCCCCCAGATGCCAGAAGAGGGCATCAGATACTCTAGGACTGGAGTTACAACGAGACGCTAAATGTGTGCTGGGAATTGAACCCTGGTCACCCGGAAGAGGAACTGGTTCTCTTAAACACCAAACCTTCACTCTAGCCCCATCTTTTCTGTTTTTAATTGATTAAAGCAAAGAGGCTTTAATCACCCTTAGCAACAGCAACAAAACCCCAAAGAGCAAAGATGATTCACACATGCAATTCCATGTGTGGTCACATGACCCCAGTGACTGGAGGCAGGGAAGGGTTCTTAGTCAAAAATATGATTAAGCAGATAACATTGTGTCCTGTCGTTAGTTATTCTCCAGAGGCCTCAGTGACTCTCGTGTCTTCTCATGAGATTTCAGATTTGTACCTTAAAACTAAGCACCAACACAAAACAGAAAGCCATATGGCCCAAGCATTCTCAAAAGATACCAAGAGGCATTCAGCATAAACAGTACTACTCTGTTTCTTCAGATGCAAGATGTCAGTGCCCTATGCCAGCCATGAGAATAAATGCCTCTCTCAGGCAGGAAGAAACTCGGACTTTAACCTGCTGGTCTACTGAGCTTTTACATCGTTGATGATAGCATCTGAACCTTTTATTTTGTTTTGTTTTGTTTTGAGACGTGGTTTCTCTATACAGCCCTGGCTGTCTTGGAACTCACTCTGCAGAACTGGCTGGCCTCCAATTCACAGAGATCTGCTTGCCTCTGCTTCCTGAGTGCTGGGATTAAAGGCATGCACCACTACTCAGCAGCACTTGGATCTTATACATCCCCTATAGGTTCATGTACGGAGCATGTGGCCTCCAGCTTTTCTTGTTGTTTTGAAGGCTGCAGAGCCCAGCTGACTGAAGCAGGTCACTAGGGGTGTTTGAGGGTTATCCCTGCCTGGGGTTTCAGCCTCCTTGTTTTGCTTTCTGGTAACCACGATGTTGATAGGTACTCCCAGTGACATGGGTAAGCCTTTCAAGCCATGCTTTTCCTTACTATGGTAGAGACACTCTAAAACAATGAGCCCCCCCCCATAAAAATCCTTCCTCCATTATTTTATCACTCTAAAAGAAAAGACACTTAAAAGTCCATAGCTATTTTTTCAGAAAAAAGGTAGAATTATTATCATTATTATTATTTTGTGTTACTGTGAAAGCATTTTTTTTTTTTTTTTGAGACAGGATTTCTCTGTGTACCCTTGGCCTTTCTGGAACTCACTCTGTAGACCAGGCTGGCCTCAAACTCACATCAACCTGCCTCTGCTTCCCAAGTGTTGGGATTAAAGTAGGGTACCACCATTGTCCAGGTATGAAAGCAAATTTAAGCAAATACCAAGGGGGGGGGGAGGCAAAAATAACTTAGGCAGTGTCATGTGTTGGAATGCCTACTCATTTGAAATGAACTTCTTTCAAAAGATGGTTCATTCCAACACACACTTCTTGACCTCACATCAGACACCCTGCTGAGGATAAATTGAGGACACCAGGCCAGTCAAAGTTTAACTCAGTTTTATTTTCCAGTTTTGAGTATTTTCAAATTATACAACATGCAGTCTGCCAGAGTATCCATACATCTTCATTTTAGAACCTCGGGGATAACCAAGAGTTTCCCAAGGGCCAGGGAGGGTTACTTCCAGATCTTTGGGGAAATTTCTATCTCACAGGATAGCTATTTAAATACATTCTCCCCATCAAACCACAGAAACAAGTTTATCCACAATTTTTTGACTGGAATCTATTGTACAGAACATAAAGCCCAGAGAACACACATCTGCATACACACAACACTTTACAAACTAGACAGAATTCTACAGAAAGCCCTATTCCCCTTGTATCTGCACACATGGGAAGTGTTTCAAATCGATACACAATTTTCAGTAACTAAGCAGACTTCATAGACCAGTGCTTCCTTTGGCAGTTATCTGGTCCTTACACAGTATTTGTTTAACAACTCAAAATTATGTTGTGAAGCAGTTTTAAACAGTGATGACTCTTTAGCTTGCTCAAGATAGTCAGGATGAGACAATGAGGTGGAACTTGGCCCAGAGACAAACTTCAGCTAATGACAGGCTTCCCAATGTCTTCTAACTAGAGTCCCAATGGCGCCTGACCTTTAAAGGAAGGGACTATGGAAGCTTTGTGTTCCTTTACTTTTCTTCTAGGAAAGTGAAGCTGATAAGAGCCCCACCCTCTCAAGCTCTGGTGAAGCCTTGGTACCGTCTCGAGACCAAAAAAAATCACTTCTCTACATGGGCTTGAAGGCTTCCAGGAGTCACTGGATCTACATTCTAGACAAATATTTTCATCCCTTCATTTATTCCAACATTTCTACAAATTGTTATTTTCTTCACCATGCAACTCTACATCCTTTAAAAGGCATAACGCTTCTTACTGTCCTATACCTGCCATCCAATTAAGCAAACTGCTCAGTACTTGACAAGATGAGACCTACATACAGGATTCTCTAAGAACTGACCAAATGCAGTTGGTGTTATAACTTCTATCCTTCAATAACACTCATAATTAGCACCCCACTGTCCTGCAGGTAGAGGTTATTTGTATAAACCATCTGGCTCTTCTCATCCAGCACCTCAGAGTAAACTTTCAAGAAGTAGGCATGAGACAGTAACTACTCAGAGGAGAATACAGATTAACATATATGCCAGCAATATGCAGCATATGACCGAAAATTAAAGCATCCGCCTGGCTGTTCAGAAGAGGGATTTTTGGGTTTAGGGTATAGGATCTAATAGTCTGGCAACAATGAAAATTTTATAAACATGGCCTTTTACCGAAGTTGCCTGAGAGTCCACTGACCTGATAAGAGAATTAATAGATAAAGTGAGATAAGGGATCACTTGAATAAACCACATAATCTGTTCCAATGATGTGTCTGGCTTTTAGTCACAGTGTGAGAAAATTAGATTAGAGGTCTTATAAAGACTGGCGCTACATGAACTGACTGGCTGATCAGCAACTAGCAGAATCATCTCTAAAAGACATCAAAGTCAACTTTCTCTGTGAATAAAAGCAGAGTGAATTTTGTAAAGCCCTTGTAGAGATCAAGTAATGTGAACTACAAATGAATGCTGCCTCTTAAAACTTGAAAGTGACCCACAGTTCTTCAGAAGCAGAAAAAGGGAACCTGGGGGGAAATTGCTTTAGAAATAATCTAAAATCATCCATTTAGTAATGGCTGTTAATGAAAGACAAGAGCAGGCTATTACTGGCCTATGCTCGATTTCCAAACACGAAGTAGCACAGTTGTCTAAAAGATACTAACAGGGCCCTGTGGACGAGAAGTGTCTGCTTGGTGGGCCTCTTGAAGGCCAATATTTCAGCTCTCAAAGCCAGAGGAAAACACAGAGAACAAGCTTCTAATCCGGCATTAGTTAGTACTGGATAAGATTTGCAAACTTGCCCTGCAAAAGACCCTTCCATTGGACTCCAAACAGCAGCCAAACAGTTATGTTGAGCAGACAGTGGCAACAAAATTAAACAAAGTGAACACAGTTAAACAAACCCCAAATCATCGTTGTAAAATAAGTACTTCAATAGAAGTTGCCTTTTCCTGCCCAGTTAAAAACACAACACTGTAAATGAAGGGCAACAGCTAACAAATGAATTAAGTGAAAGCAGTATTGCTTTGTTAGGTGAAGTCTATGTAGAAAGAATCGGGAAGGTAGCATACATGACCCTCAGCATTCTACACACATGTCTGTGTATAAGCACACATATTACCTACTTCCACTTTTTCTGCCATGAGAAAACCCAAAGTCTCCCCCTGGCGTAAACTTTACTCCAGTGGTGTCAGCTGCAGAAGACAGAGCAAGCTCACACTTCTTGGGCACCTAAGATGACAAGAAGGATAATTTCTCTGAGATGGATGGGAATGTTACTAACTAAGCCCTCAAATTAATGAAAACAAATAGCAGCACATAAGATCAACTTACTTAAGTTACTTAAACTTGTCAGTTTCTCTTGCACTCCACTACTTGGCAACGGATCCTTTTAGTATGCCCAACTGAATGTAAGGGAGTCACCTTTAGATTCATGGAGCTGAATAAAGTCATATCTAAATGTACAAAAAACCCAATCTGGTTATACTCATTTTTCCCCCACCTCTTAACTGTGCCTAGAAGAAGAAAAAGCCTATTTGGTGCCGAAGAAAGAATTCAAATCAGCAGTTTTACAATGATGGGTTACAATAAAAACGCAGGCATGAATCTCATCAGTGACTTTCTCCCCAGGGAATTCTTTTCCAAACACTGGAATGACGCTGGATTTCTTTAGCAATGGCTCCTCAAGCAAATGATGGTTTGCTAGAGAAAGAGGCTATCCCAGTGCAGGTTCAGAGGATCTGGAGGAAGTGATGAGGAGGGGAGGCAGCCCATCTCAATTCTGCAGCATTTTCAATACTTCTATAGGAATGGTGTTCAAACAACTGGGCTGGCAGAGATGAGTCGCTGCAGGTTTGCCAGCAAGCAGCTTGGAGGTGAATGGTATGACTCTGCGTTTTCGTAGATGTGTCTGAATGAGCAAATTCTACACTGCTATTGTCAAGCTGTTTTTCCTGCCTTGAAGAAATCTGCTTTGCATTTTAACAGTTGCCATACTAAAAGGTATATTTTACAGATCCAAAGGTATGACCAGGATATTTAAAATGCTCTCTGGGGTTGCTTTTGGAAAAGTGTTCAGAATGAAAATTTTGAACCCTATAGCAGCACTTTTGTTTTTGTTTTTTGTTCCCTAAAAATATAAAGTAATGTGTTTATTTTACAGAAAACCAGACAGTCGAGGCAGAGCATGGTCACCGATTCCACACCACTTGGTTGTCCCTCTCGGATGGCACAGCGGGGTGTTCCATTCCAATGGGTCAGTGCACTGCAGGGACCTCCAGAGACCACGCAACCCTGGAGGCCGAGAAGTGGTAACCGTTCCAAGCAGGAAGTAGGCACTGTGTAACCACCTCCTTCCGATTTCTTAGGAGAAGGATCCACACACGGATCTGTGCACACAAATTCTATACAACGCAAACACCCGAATCTGGTGTACTACAGACGGCTGGGCAAGCGAGTGTAAAAAGAAATGGAAACTGTATAGTTGGGGGAAGTAAAGGAACTGATGACTAATATAGTCCTTTTCATGCTACATGGAGTCAGATCTGTTGAAAAAGAATGGAAGAGAGAACACAGGCATTAGGGAGCAGCAGAGATTCATTCCTCAGGCCTTCTGATTCAGTCTAGATGTTCAGGGCAGAGCTGTCTTGTCACAAATACAATGAAGGCCACTTATTTTGTTCACTACCTGCATTAAAAAGTAAAGCTGAAAGGAAAAGTTAATCTTAATAATACGTTTATGTACTCCAGTATTAAAATATTACTTCAGTATGTACACATGGAGCTATTTTTCACTACAGTATGGCCATTAGAGATTCTCACACACTCCGCCCCGCCCTGAGCCTGTGTTCAGTCTGGTGTCTATTTTTCTCCATCAGCGCTTCTCAGTAGGGATTTGGCTAACATAATGGATTGTATAGCTTCCCCCATCCTGGGTTTAAGTACTCTGTCGTCCTGACACAGTCTCCATATTCTTTTCTAAGTCATTGCATTCTGAATCTGTGTGCAGTCAGAGTTTCGCAAAGCGCTTCCTCCTGTCCTCAGGGGCAATCAGACTTCACTCATTAACCAGTACTGGCATCAGCAGGCAGGTCAGCCCTGGTCCTGACCCAGGCATGGAGAGCTGAGTCAGAAGTGTTGTTTCACTGCAATGGAGCCACGGACATTTCAACACAACCCCTTCGAGTTTGCCTCCGTCTCCAGAAGTCTGTCCATCTGACTCTGGGCAGGTCCCCAGGATGGGGGTCTTGGACCAGCCCTGAGTGGCCTTCTCTTAACTCTAATAAGCTCGACACTCAGAACACAGCAAAAGAATCAATTCCTGCCAGCATCATGGGGGTCTGAACCATCTGTAATCTGGCCCATGGATTTCCTGCAGAGCTCCTGGTACCCTCAGGTTGAAGAGGCAGGGACACAATGGGCAGGTACAGCCTCGTCCTTGGGAAGCCAAAAAAAGAGGCACAACAGGAAATACGACAGACACAAAAAAAAAAACTTATCTGTTCTCCTAAGTTTAAATAAGACCCCACAGCCTGACCTCTACTTCCCGTCTACCTCCAGCCTTCAGTGCAAACTGATGCCCGCCTGCAGTGTCTCATAGTCCTGCCACAGTGCTTTCTCCACGTTGCTTTTCTACAAGCTCCTCACTTATAATATTGTAAGCAGTATCACGTATTTTGTGTAAATAAACACAACATAAATTACACATGGATACAAAAATGGAAAAAGGAACACAGAACAGAAGAGAAAATGGGCAGGGGGAGGACAGTTCATGCTCTCTATTCCTCCTGGACCCATGCAGTAAATAGGCAGGAATCTCATTCTGTGTCATTTCCCATGCTTACAACCTTGCCTGACTGTAAGGGACGTAAACCTTTGATGATAATCTTGCAATTTCTAGTCATTACAGAGAAATGAAACAGTTTGTAGAAAGGACATATTTCACATTCGGCCCTTCTTGAGAGAGTTTCCTGTTGCATGCAGGAAGGCTTTTTGAACAGCAGCCCTGAAGTCCCACTTCACCTAAGGGTTCATTCCTCCAAGCACACCATTTGGGCAGAGGGAGATTGGTCTTCCTGTGTGCCAGGAGGCAGGGAGGTGCTGGGTGCATACCTTCCATTGGGATTACGGCCTGCCACAATGCCTACAGGCAACCTGTGTTGACACAGGAAGCACTCAACACACAAGCCCTGTAGCGCAGTCTCAATAACTCCAGCAGACCATGAAGGGAGGAGA